CGGTAGCGTGCGGGTGACGCCAGTAGCGCGCCAACCCTCCCCGCATGCGAGTCAGCGTACCGCAACGCACGACAGCTTGCGGTACGCATCCAGCAGTACTGATACGGAAGTGGTCATCAACCCCGGTGAGACCGACGATGAAGAGGGCGAAGATGTCGACATATGGCTAGAAAACATGTTGGAGGAGCCGACAAGTCCGATTTATCGACCATCATGCGTACGAGACTGGCCGGAAGGATGTGGTCCACGGGCTAAATTGAAGATCAAGAAGCGCAAGACCAAACGAACACGAAGGAAACGCAAGGCAAAGGACAAGGAATCATACTGTTGGTGTAAACCGTGCACAAGGAAGAGACGAGCACGAAAGAAAGAGTCTAGAAGGCGTGGGTTGCGATGGGTTGACAAAGGATGGTGGATACCGGCCGAGGGTTGTGCTAGGTTGGATGGTTGGGACCCATGGCCCGAACCAAAGGTGACCATCGCCGACGAGAAGGACGACGGCGATCGGCTCATGGGCGAATGGCGCGCATCGGCCCATGATGCGCGCGGTGGGACGGGCAAGAGGCGCGCATCGGGCGGTGATGCGCGAGGATGGGTGGCTAGCACGCGGGTGTACGCGGGTGCACGTGGGGGCGCAGTAGGCAAGCGGGCCACGAGCGTTGGAAGGTACGCGCGGGCAACGAGCAGCGGGCGAGCTGGGCGCGCGGGTGAGGACCACGCGGGCGGCGTCCGAAACCGCACGGGCATAAGACTACGGAGCAGCGGGACGCATGCGCACGAGGATAACGGACGAAGGGATGGGCGCGCGATAGCACGCGAGTGGGCGAAGGTCGCAAGCGCAGGCCTATGCGCGGAAGGATTAGGCGAGGCAGGGTCGGCGGGCGATGGCGTGCGGGACACGGCGCAAGTGTCCGCGCGCGACGAGGAGTGTGAGGCGGCGCACGCATGTGCGACGCGCAAAGGAATGAGGCGGCCGAAGTGCAAAGAGGCGTGTGATGTGGATTTGTTTCGAGTGCAAGCCAAGCAAAATCAAGATCTAGTCAATTTAGGACTTTAGATATTTAGT